TATAGTTTGAACTGTAAAACAAAGGTTCACGGCGCACTTCGTCAACAACGGGTAAGGATGTCACTTCAGTGGCTGCGACTCCGGGTTTTGCCGACGATAAAAGCGCAACTCGCTCCGACAGGAACGCTATCTGTTGCATCAAGTGACGAAGCACTACATCAGGCACTTGTACGCCTGAGGGGACTGCACCAGCCTGCGAAACGTAATCCTCTTCTCCTTGCGCACTTTTCCATTCTGCCTTGTCACTAAACTGCGATGATTCTTGATGCTTCTCAAAATGTGACAGGATCGCATCCATACATTTCCTTTTGGTAGATTCCTCGGGAAGATTATTTTTTTTCAGCTCCTCTTTGAGCTCTTTAAGTGAGAGCGATTCCAATCGTAAGCGAAGCGTATCCATGGTAAACGCCGATCACGTGTACTAACAGGCGCGAACACGCAAGACACAAATGTGCGGACAACGTATAAACGTGTTTACACGAAGCCTTTCACAAAGACCGTTGGGCCTGGAAAATTCCGTCAAGAGCACAAAATGGCGGAATATCAAACGCGGAAGCTCGGAGAGCGACACACGGCAACGTAGAGAAATGGCGATCCGGGAAAAGCAATACCGGCAACTCGTTAGACGAGATAAACAAACTCGCGAGACGACGAGCAAAAGTTACGATAACTTAAAAGAACGACGGCGCGTCACGAACTGCTACGTGGTTTTTTCCTTTATCCCACTTCTGAACTGTAGAGGAGAGGGTATATGTCAGGAATGAAGGCCTCTTATTGTCAGGAAGTAGTTAAGAGAGGGCAACTAGACTAAGGAGACTAGGCAAAACGGATAGAACACCTCGTAGCAGGTTATAAACGACTTGTACTTTATTATCTTGACAACGGAAACACGCACATCCGATCAAGTTCGAGATCGGTTACAATCTGTCTTTCTGGCGTCAACAGCGCCAGAAATATCTCAAGCGACCAATTAGGTGTCGCGCTTTGAAAAATGACCAATGAGAAGCGGTCACGCATACCTGAGGCTATAGGCCCAATCACGAGCGCTAGAAACAACGAGCTGAGCGCCGGCACGAACGCAATGCTATGTTACCAACATAAAAAACACTAGTAATTCCAACACTTCTTACAAATGGAAATAATGACCATTTCCACAATCGCGAATAACTGTTTTTTTTGGCGTACTCAAAAGCGTCCTAGCATCAGCAGGTAATTCGTCGTGACCTTCGTTTTTTAAAATACAAAGTAAGGCTGTGAGAGATCTTTGAGTAATATTA